TGAATGAAGGCTCCGTCGAATCTCCTGAGTGTGTGACGTCACTGGTCACGAGTTTTTTACGGGCTCCTTTGAACCCATTTTAGGTTATAATTCATCAGCTGACGACATGACGTTACTGGTGCTCGACTAAACATCAGGCGCAACAGGTCATGCTCCATATTTGCCTTTCGTACCTGGCTGCTACAAATATTCGCGTGCTATATGAAGGCTCCGCCGAATCATCTGAGTATGTGACGTCACTGATCATCAGTTGGTAGGAGGTCACTTGGCCACCTACGGCTACGGAGTTCCGCAGCAGAGGTGGGAGATGCACCATAGTTAAGCACACTAATTTTATTGTGCGCACCATTAAGTAACAACTTCAAACGCAACGGGCTGTTTCAACGACTAAAATTTTGAACAAACGTAAACACAAAACAAAGGTGATCCCAGCCCACAAACCGACGTATATGCAAAGCTATTCCGCCCGACATCACAGGATGCGCCCTTGAGCAGCTACGGTCCGGAATGCCCTGATGGCTAAATAATAATCAAGGGCGCCGCCTAGCGGCCATAAGTCTGGGCCACAGCCCGAATATCAGTGACGTCATATGGTCAGGTGATGCTTGATGTCCTTCAGTCAGCCCGAGTAAGCCCGCGTAAACTCATGACCAGTTACACCACATGCTCAGGTGATTCGGCAGAGCCTTTATGTAGCGCGCGAATACTTGCAGTATAGAGGTGCGAAAGGCAAAGATGGAACATGACCTGTTGCGCCTGAGATTAAGTCAAATACCAGTGATGTCATATCGTCAACTGATGTCTTGTACCCTATAGGTACAAAAAAGCAGCCCGTAAAGAACTCATGACCAGTGACATTACACACTCAGGAGATTTCACAGAGCTTTCCTTAAGCATGTCAATGCTTACAATAGACAGGTACGAAAGGTAAAGACGAACATGGCCTGTCGCGCCTGGTGTTAAGTTGAATACCAGTGACGTCACATCGCCAGATGATGCTTGATGTCCCTTCAGTCAGCCCGGGTAAACCCGCGTAAACTCATAACCAGTCACACCACACGCTCAGGTGATTGGGCAGAGCCTTTATGTGGCGCGCGAATACTTGCAGTAGATAGGTGCGGAAGGTAAAGATGAAACATGACATATTGTATCTGATGCTTAATTGAATACCAGTGACGTCATATCGTTACCTGATGCCTAATGGCCTTAAGTCGGCCCAAAAAGGCGCGGGAAAACTCATGACCAATGGCGTCACACACTTAGTGGATTACCAGTGACGACATATCGTTAGATGATGCCTAATGGCTTTCCCGGCCAACAATAGCCTGTAAAAACTCATGATGACGCACTCAGGTGATTCGGCAGAGCCATCATTAGGCTCGCCAATACTTTAACAGGTGCGAAAGGCAAAGATGGAACATGACATGTTGTGCCTGATTCTAAGTCGAACACCAGTGACATCATATCGTCAACTGAAGCATTATACCATATAGGGGGTTGAAAAGAGCCCGTAAGAACTCTTAACCAATGACGTGATATAACACGCGAATGCTTGCAGTAGACAGGTACGAAAGGTAAAGATGGAACATGGCCTGTTGAGCCTGATGTTGAGTCGAATACCAGTGACGTCATATCATCCCCGCGATGCTTTACAGGATATGATGCTTTGTTGCATTGGGCTGCCCAAGTGAACCTGTATAAACTCATGACCAGTGACGTCACGCACTCAGATGGTTCAGCATCACCTTGATATAGCACGCGAATGCTTGCAGTAAACAGGTACGAAAGGCAAAGATAGAGCATGGCCTGTTGCGCATGACACCTAGACGAAAACCGGTGACGTCATATGGTCAGCTGATGTGGTATGGCTTACAGTGGGTTCAAAACAGTCTATACAAATTAATGGTTAGTGACGTTACACACTCAGGTAATTCGGCAGACCCTTCCTTCAGCATTCAAATACTTGCAATGGACAGGTACCAAAGGTAAAGATGGAGCATGGCCATGGCCGCCTGAATTGTATTCGGATACCAGTGACGGCACATCTTCAGTTAATGTAGTATGACCTTTCGTCGGCCCAAAAGAGGCCGTAAAATCTGATCACAAGTGACATCACACACAGTCGAATGCCAGTGACGTCACATCATTAGGCTATGCTTTACGGCCCTCAGTTGGCCCCCAATGATCCATAAAAATGCATGACCAGTGACGTCACACACTCACGTGATTTGGTAGCTTTTATTCATCACGCCAGTGCTTGCAGTAGACAGGTACGAAGCTAAAGATGAACCTTGACCTGTTGCGACCAATATTTAGTCGAATATCACTGACGTCACGATACCCAGTGATATTTCACGGAACATGATACACCGCGGCCGTGGGGCCTAAGTGCACTCGTATTAAGTGGTGATTGGTGACGTCACACATTCAGGTGATTCGGTCAAGCTTTTATTCGGCACGCAAATGCTTGCAGCAGACAGGTACGAAAGGTAAAGATGGAATAAGGCCCGTTGCGCCTGATGTTTCATTGAATACCAGCGACGACATATCGTCAGGTGATGCTTTACGGCATTCATTGCACCCAAAAGAGCCCTAAAGCCTCACAACCAGTGACGTCACATATCCAGTCGAATACCAGTGACATCATATCGCTAGCAAATGCCTTGTAGCCTTCAGTCGGCCCAAAAGAACCCAGATCGATGCAAACCCATTTTCAGTGACGTCACTACGTCGGCTGATACCTAACAGCATTTCTCCATCATGGCAGTACAGGAACCCTGCAGCCAGCGTAGCTCTCTCCCCACCGTCGGCAATACAGGTACCAAGTAAAAAAAAGCCGCTTTTTCATGGTTAGGAGTGTGACATGACCTTTTTCTCTCAATGCTTACCTTACCTTATGGTGATCGGGAACTGTAAAAGGCCACTAGGCCTGTAGGTCCGGTCTCGTCAGGTTCCCGGTCCGGTAACCAAACAGTCTCAAATTATGGGAAGATTCAGTGTGGGACGTTGTACATGACAAGCCTAGACTTGAACTGTTCAAATGAGGTCGACGACAGGACGGGGTGTGGAAGAGCATTCCAGTTGTTGACAACCTGCATGCTGAATGAGTTACGACGGATGAGAGTCCTAGCTCGAGGTTTTCTGAGCTTCCCTTGGTGTCCTCTCATCACCTCCGGTACTTGGGGCCGATAGTATCAACATTGCAGGAACTATGTCATATTGCCTCCTGATAATTGCATTGCATGATGCTTGTTTTCATTTCACCAGCATCCTGTTTGCCTGGCATGTTGGCAGTTGGATATTTTGAACACCAGATTAAATGTTGGATAGCAATTTTAATAGAATACATCAGGCACAGGATAATGTATTAAGGTGTTGGCACTTGCTATTTTGTTGCTTTTATGTATCCAGTGATTTCCTTGTCACCTAGCACTGGCATTTTGTTTGTAAGAAATTCACAAAATCATGCATTCTGTATGGCATGCAGTTTTGATAATGCAATTATGTCATGATGAACTTATACACCACAGGCCCAAATGGTCTATAACAACATGAATAATGCAAGGTATAAGGTGCAAGGTATACAATTTGGTTGAGTATATGATCAGTGTTATGGGATGTTGAGATTATATGTCTGCCACAGAATAAACATGGTCAAATTCTTACAATGGTTCTAGGTCTTACTGTCTATAGCAGATTTTTTATACTCAACAAAAATCATGCAGTTCAGAGCGAGCAACATAAGCACTGTTCTACTCTGTTTTTTCATGCTTGCATGTGTAAAATGTGGTCATTTGTGGCAATGATGCATTTTCCATGACATCCACTTAATGATGGTACAATTAAATGTAGCACATTATGTGCTAGTATATTTTGCTGACATTTACAAACGTGGTATTCCAGGTGGCAATGAACTTGGGTTGACATCTGGTTGTGGTCAAAGCATTGCTGACCAGAGCCAAAATACCTCCAGTCATTGCTGATCGAGAGCTCAGGGTCATTGTGTAAAGCTCAGCTGTCTGTTGAAAGAGGAAAAGCACCACTGTATGAAGACCAAGTTTTGCCATACTCTAGGAGGACATGACATTGCTGATATTTAGTGTCCTGAGCTGAGGGTTGTGTATGGTGAAAGTGGTGCCAGAATTGGTGCAAACACCACAAGAATAAGATAGAAGTCCAGTGTTGCAAGGCTGCAGAGTGTAATTTCTGCAATTACAAAGCTCTGCACTTGGGCTGAACATCAGCATGCTGGGCCTAGTAGCCGACAGCTGGCTGCCGAGTGCCACGGCGCTGAGGGCCTGACCTGAGCGGCGCTGGCGGCCGGACGCAAGCAGTGCTGAGGGCCTGGGCCGAACGGCGCTGAAGGCCTGACGCGAGCAGTGCTGAGCAACGGATTTGTAGCATCAAGACTGGGAGGCGGCCGACGGTCGCAGCGATGGGCGACGCCGGCCAGGAGCTGCACTACGAGCCGCTGCCGTACCGCGACCTGTGGCCGGGCGTGGACGAGCTGCTGCCGCCGCTGGCGCGCCACGAGCCTGACCAGCTGGGCGCGCGGCCTGATCCTCTGCTGGACGCGCACCTGCTGCTGGACGGACCGTTCGCGGCGCCTGCCGAGCTGGAGGTGTCGGCCGCCGGTCGCGACGCGCTCGACCTGGCGTTCGCGCCGGCCGAGCTGGCGGCGGCCGGCCGCGGCGCGCGCGTCCTCTACGGCAGCGTCAACTCGGACGGCGACAAGCTGGTGCTGCGCTTCCGACTGGCCGACGACGCCGGCCAGCCAGAGCACAGCGTCTGCAAGCTCTGCGACGGGCAGGTGGACCTGTTCCGCGCGCACGAGCACAGCGTGCAGGGCCGCTTTGTGCTGTCAGGCGACGGCGTGGTGCTGGAGGTGGGAGCCGTGACGCTGCCCGCCCCGCCGCCCCCCGCCGCCGCCGCCGCAGGTGATAGCTCCGGAGTCGGTTGCGGCGCCTCCGGAGCCGCCCCCGCCGCTGCCGCCGCCGCCGATGCCGCAGCCGCCACCGGCTACGACGTCGTCATCGTCGACTCGGACCGCAGACGCGGAGTCGGCGAGACGGTGGACGACCCGCTGCCGTACGCCTGCGACGTCTGTCAGAAGGCGTTCAGCACGCGGCGCGTGTTGAACAAGCACCTGCTGAGCCACGCGGGCGTGCGGTATCCGTGCGAGCAGTGCGACAAGAGCTTCCCTCGGCTGGACCGGCTGCGCCGCCACCAGCTGACGCACGCCGCCGTCCGACCGTACGTGTGCCAGACATGTCAGAAGGGCTTCAACCGGCGCGAGTACCTGGTGCAGCACCAGCGTGTGCACTCGGGCGACCAGCCGTTTCAGTGCGACATCTGTGGCATGCGCTTCAGCTTGCACTCCAACTTCACCATGCACAAGCGAGTGCACGCGCAGGAGAAGCGGTTCACGTGCGATGTGTGTGAGCGCGGCTTCAACCGGCTGGACCACCTGGAGACGCACAAGCTGCAGCATACTGGCGAGAAGCCCATGATCTGCGAGAAGTGCGGTCTGCAGTTCTCCATCAAGGAGAAGTTGCAGCGGCACATGCTGGTGCACGCCGACGAGAAGTCGTTTGCCTGCGCCATCTGTGCTCGCCGCTTCCGCCGCAAGGACAAGCTGGACGCGCACATGGAAAAGCACGCGTCTGGGCCCGGCCAGGCGTGTCAGCTGTGCCCTAAGGTGCTGCCTCGACGCGAGCTGCTACGCCAGCACGAGCGCCAGCACGCCGACCCTGCCAAAGTGCAGTGTCCCACCTGTCTCAAGTTTTTTCGCCGACCAGGCTAAGTACCAGGCGCACGCGCAGCGCCACAAGCCGCTGGTGCGCGACGCGGCGCGCCATCAGTGCGAGATGTGCATGAAACCCTTCCGGCGGCCAAACGTGCTGCGTGCGCACATGAAGAAGGCGCACGACCGCGTGCTGGCCAGCCCGGCGCGCGTGATGAACAACAAGCCGCGCTCCTTCCAGTGCCACCTGTGCCGGCGCGGCTTCACGCGCCAACAGACGCTCAAGGCGCACGTCCAGCGCGTGCATGAAGCGGCCGAGCCGGAGCCGGAGCCGGACCCGGTGGCCGAGCCAGAGCCGGAGCCAGAGCCGGCCCCCGTCGCGGACTACGCTCCGGCCGCTTGTCCCAACACGCAGGAGCTGGCTCACGCGCCCTTCCTGCTGGCCTTCCCGCACTATACGTTCTGAGGAGCGCGAGCGCCGGTGGAAACAGCTCCCTCCATGACGACGGGCCGCGCGGGCTCGTGACATGGGCTGACTGGTGTAGTTATTCGTGTCGCGCGACACTGTCTAAACGTGAATGGTATGTTCCAGTGGTTTTCTACATGTGTACTGGAGTGCGGGCACCCGCCCCTCGGCATCAGGAGTGACTCATGTCGCATTCGTTTCGACCTCGGGCTGCTGGAGACTGGAAACCGTCGCCTTCTGGCGGTCTCTGCCAACTTTGTGATCTCTGACAGGCTGCTTTGGACGGATTGGATTTGGATTGCGATTAGTAGAGGTCTAGGACTGTGATGCATTAGTGTCGTCTTGACCGGGTGTAAGTCGTCCAATGCCGTACCAGATAACTGTTTCGGGCTCAGATCGCCCAGCGCTGTGAGGTAGATCATTGGCTGAGCAGGTAATATGCATAAACGGGGGCGTCGCGTCGGCACTATGTAGGTTCCTATGCTGTCATCCAGTCCGAATAAATTCAGATGACGCGTTGATTAGCGCACGCGTGAGCCCGGTCATAGTGCTTAGGCCGTATTTATTGGTGATGGGAACGTTTGTTGGTATTGCGTCCTCCATAAAGGAATCCTCTGGTCTGAAACGGAAAATTGATGGCCACGTCTTTACGTTTACGACCACTGTCCTGCGATGTGTGCCAACAAAACTGATGTGGTGTGCGATGTACTGTAATTGTGTTGCCGTTCAAAGAGTGGTGTTCAGTCACGTGACGAATCTCACCGACGTACGTCTCTGGGATGAAATGAACGCATTTTCGCAATTCTGAATTGCCTTCTCTGAAATATGTCGTTTGTACTTGGCAGTGGCAGCTCACTTAAATTTAGAGGACATTTGCCACAAAGTCTGCCGACAGTTACTGGGATCGCGCTAGATGCGGACCAACCGGGCTCGCTGGGGAATGCCGAATCTGACCCGAGCTGATGCTGATTAGCGCTAACGGTCAGGAGCGCGGTAACTGGAAAGGAGTGGGGCTGGACCCAGCAATGTCTGAAAAGAAATTGCTGACAGTGTTTCCCCCTGGCTTGACAGAACTTCCGTTGCCCCTGCTAGCAGCTTTTGAAGCAATGTATACTGACGTCACATGATTTTAAAATGTTTGTGGTTTTTGGTAAGTTGATGCACGACAGATGCAGCGACCAAAAGTCTGTAGGCTGGATTAATAAATCGCTAATTTCGCGGACAACAAAGTGCTAGATGCTGACAGCAGAGGAGTTCGCGTTCAGTCAGATCTTGGCGAGCCGAACTCCAAACGTCGCGCCCTTTCCTGCAAATCAAAGCGAAAAGAGACTCTGGTTTTCGACCCTTTGCACCGCCGTCGTTTTTTCCTGCTGCTGAGTATGTCGGCGATCTGCGTCCATCGAGATTTCTCTTTTTTACTGAATGGCGCTGAGTAAGTTCCAGAAACAGGTAGGTCGAGCTGATCTACACACTATTAACTTGCAACAATAGCAGTTGCTTTTACCGTCGTATGTTAGATTATAATTGCAACATCAGACCGTTGCCCGGGTGTGCCAGATTGTGTCACAGGGGTCCCTTTTGGCCAGGATGATTTTCTTTTCGTCATCAAATGATCCCTGCCGTTTGAGAACCCTTGAAGACTTAGCCTCAGGGTCGGGATTTCCTTCAGCCCCCCAACTTTTAGAGGAAAGTAGCCAAATCCGCGGAGAGCCTCGCTTGTCGGACTTTTGGGTGTGTTGCTTTATTTTTTTTACTGCTCCCCGCCCCAACCCGTTCTGCGAAAGTATGCCTTTGTTCGGGATCATATTTTATGCCTGTTGCCCGTTTTGTGAGGCTTTAGAAGCCCTTCCGGGCTGCGGTGAAGCTTCGTATTTCTTACCAGGGGCGCTGAAGTGCGTATTCGGTTGGGTGGACTGCAGCACCCGAACTTTGAGAAGAAACTGGGCCAAATCTGACGAAGAAACTGTTTGACGAGACATTTTGAGCAAGGTTGTCTCATTTTTTCACTTCTTAGCCCCATCTCTCAACTCGTTTGCGAAACTTCGCCCCTGCTTCGTAGTGCAGTAACGAAGCAGTTCTGTTTCAGTGTTCATTTTCGTCTAGAAGCATTAGAAATTGCCTTCTTTAAGAAATGCTAATGAGGAAGATGGTGGTTCTGATGAGCTGCGATGTGAGTCTTACCACGTTCCGGCATATTTGCAGCTGAAATGAATGCACCAGAAAGAATGCGTTACCTTGCAGGAATGAGGAGTTGTACGATTATTTTAATATAGTGGCGTGTAGCACAAGGTAAGCAGGCAAAGCTGTCTTTTCTGCGTTAAGTTTGTCTACAACCCGCGTCTTTCGTTAGATAGCTTTAGATGTGAGCGTTGATAGCTGCCGTCATTTACATTTAAACCGTTTACGGCGGACGGTGTGGATGCGCGTGCGTGTTTACCAGAATCTAGGGTGCATAGATTTTGCCCCTTTACTAAGCCTGGCTTAACACTGTATTGTTATGGACACGGTAGCCGTTTATGCACATAGTGTCCCTTGCCCCGTTATAAAGTATTGCTATTAACACAGTGTCCGTTACAATGATCCACTTGCCTTTATATCCCTACAATTTTAAGCAGTCATGGATGTTTTTTAGCAATTTTTCAACCAAAACATTGAAATGGATAAATTTTTGTTGAGATCTTGTGAGGGGGTGGGGCTGAATGTGATTCAGACCATGACCAAGACTAGGGGATATTTTTGGCTATAGAATATGCTGTGTATTCATGTGCCCATGCTGTATCAGACTGAGTTGCCCATCCTGTGTTGTGAGTTGTGAATGTGCCCATCATATTAGGCCATTGAGAGATGCCCTGCTGTTAAAAGCTTTGGTGATATTTGAGAAGAGACCTTTAAAACCGATGTTTTTGCCAAGTCACATCTCTGCTGAATGCCCATGCTATTGTCTGCAGGTCTCCCTTTTGAAGTAAGGAAACACAACCATGGCTTTTGGTGGATTTGGAGGCTTTGGTGCAGCCTCATCAGCTCCCTCTGGTAAGTGAATTGGTGAGCTGTTTGTGACAATGAACTTACTGAGAGTTGGCATGATAGAATTAGCAAGTCCTCAAAGTTGTATGTGGTAATGAATGTCACCCATTTTGTGTAAGAGCTTTATCAGATGATAGTTTTATATATAGCAAGTATTGATATTATGTCAGTAACTACTTACGTACATCAATGCACTTTGAGCCATGAACAAATCCAGCGAGCTTTAGTTTTGCCAATTCAGCCAGGTGAAGTGTTGTTGTAACCCGCCAACCCTGTTTGCACATTTTTATATCTTTTGTTTGTTATGGTCTTCTTACATTTACTGGGAAGGCATTACTTCAGTAAATATATGCAATTTGTTGCTGGATATTTGTTGACCATCCAACCTGTTACAGGGTCTCTGTTTGGCTCAGCTTCAACCCCTTCAGTTGCAGGGTTTGGCACAACTACAACAACAAAAAGTGAGATGACAGATGATGGGAGCTAAATTCTCCTGGCTGAGTAGCTGTTAAAGCCAGTTTGTTAATGTACTTTAAGGTGTTGCATCATCTATGCACCTTGTATGTGTAATGTTTGACTTCTGGAATATGGAAGGTTATATTTTGATTTTTATAGGCAACCATGTCATGACATATACAATAAGTGATATTGCACACAGACAGTGTACAATGGCCCATTGTGAGCTCTGTATTTTTCATCACATTTGTAACCTGTGTAAGCTTTTGTGCACTCCTGTCCATCAGGTGTCACTTTTGGCCAGCCAACCGCCAGTACAGGATTTGGAGGCTTTGGCACCCCAGCAGCAGCTGTCCCAACTGCCGGCCTCAGCTTTGGCACACCGGCATCAACAGCTGCCACAGGCTTCAGCTTCGGAGCACCTGCATCTTCAGCTGGCACTGCCCTCAGCTTTGGAGCACCCGCATCTTCTGTTGGCACTGGTTTCAGCTTTGGGGCGCCAGCATCTTCAGCCTCCACTGGTTTCAGCTTTGGCACCCCGGCATCTGGAGCTTCCACAGGTTTCAGCTTCGGTACACCTGCATCATCAGCTGCGCCGGGATTCAGTTTCGGCGCGCCTGCCTCGTCAGCGGCGACAGGGTTCAGTTTCGGCACGCCTGCCTCGTCCGCGGCGGCAGGGTTCAGTTTCGGCGCCGCGGCACCCGCCGCCACTGCGGGACTCAGCTTTGGCAAACCATTCACCACGACGACCGGCCCAAGTGAGAGATACTCTCCCCCTGGTGACATGCGTTCAGTCTTGGGTGACGTAGTGGTATGCTCAATCGTTCTGCGCTAAAACTGAACTGATATTCATAATGTGAGCTACCTTTCCTGACAAAACTACTGTGCTGTATTATCGCCAAATGTCGAATGTGCCACGGACAATCCACCATGTGACATGACTCTGCTGGCAACATGCCTGTTGAAGTTAACTAAATGCTTCTCAGCCATGGAACATTGGTTTTTTAAGTTTTGATCGCAAAACTTTTGCCGGTAGCATCAGAGTGGTGTGGAAGAGCGGTCCACAACAGTTTTGTCTATTAAGAATCCACCGAGTAGAGGTTTTGTTCAAGGAAATCAGACCTTGGACTTCTCAGAAACTTTGCCACTTTTAAGGTTTGCCGCGGCCGTCATGTCCGAGTAGATTTGCCGGTGGCATATTTTGGTAGTGCTCGTGATACGTTACGGCGCGTGGCTGGCTATGGTCCCAAGCTTCGCCTTCTTGTGTTCGTAGGCCCACTAATTGCGGGTGTTGTGGAGGCCCACCAATTATGGGTGTTCCAAAGACCCACTAATTGCGGGTGTTGTGGAGGCCCACCAATAACGGGTGTTCCAAAGGCCCACCAATTGCGGGTGTTGCGGAAGCCCACTAATTGCAGGTGTTGCGGAGGCCCACTAATTGCGGGTGTTGCAGAAGCCCACCAATTGCAGGTGTTGCGGAGACCCACTAATTGCGGGTATTGCGGAGGCCCACTATTTGCGGGTGTTCCAGAGGCCCGCCAATTGCAGGGTGTTGCGGAGGCCCACTAATTGCGGGTGTTGTGGAGGCCCACTAATTGCGGGTGTTCCAGAGGCCCGCCAATTGCGGGTGTTGCGCAAGCCCACCAATTGCGGGTGTTGCGGAGGCCCACCAATTGCGGGTGTTGTGGAGGTCCACCAGTTGCGGGTGTTGCGGAGGCCCACCAATTGCGGGTGTTGCGGAGGCCCACCAATTGCGGGTGTTGCGGGGGCCCACCAGTTGCGGGTGTGGCGGAGGCCCACAAATTGCGGGTATTGCGTAGGCCCACTAATCGTCTTTTCGCTCAGCGGCCTGCGTAGGTGTGTTGGTGTCGTATGAGAGACGCAGGATTTCGTGAGCCACTGGCGGAGCGCGTCACTGGAGGTTTGGTAATATCTTCCGGCGTACACCGGCTATTGGACCGTCCTGCGGGACAGACAGTGCAGAGTTTCGATTTCTGCTGTGTGTGGTCTGATGTGCCTTGATGGTGGAGAACGAAGGCTTGAATGTGTCTGTGGGATGGTGGATTTCGTGGGATTGTGAGTTCTATGCATCCCCATGTGTGTTTCGTGGCTTCCAAACGTACGTGTACAGCACGCACGTACGTACTGTACAGTTGTGCCCTGGAATTTAAGAGCCAGCTGTATTGTGTACCTTTTAGTTCCCCCGCAGGAACGTCCCGCAGTGCGCGTGTTTAGCGGCATGCACTGCTGTCAAAAGGAGAAGCATGATGCCACCTGATCATTGTGCCACATCTAAACCACGTCTGTGAGCTTGGAAGTTCGCGGCTGGCACATTGCTGTAACGGCCAGCGTTCTCCTGTGTTAAAGGCTTTATGGGACTCGGCCA